GGTTCAAACTAAGTCATAAATCTTTATGTATAATGAGCGTCTACATGAATAACAAAATATGATTGCATCATGTGTAAATATATATATATATATATATATATATATATATATATATATATATATATATATAATATGTATTTTTAACAAAAATTCGTATCATGAAAAGCTTAACCCAGATTCTAAAAATCAAAGTTAGGAAACTTATCTGATTAGAGAGATAGAAAGATTCGCGTCTGAAAAGGCCTGGGATGTTTGAAATGCCCGACCGATGAGTTTACTAAAGTTTGTGGCGTTGAGCGGCAAACTTTTCTGAAAGCCTTTATTTCGCCGTTAGCCTTGAAAAATGGAATGCTAGGAAGAACTTTGCCGACCTAAAAGACCGATTTCTTCAGGTTCTTGGAAGACCAAGCTATCTTGGAAGACAAAGCTTTGAATGCTCCAAAATGAGTCCCCAATTCGAATTGGCAATAAAATTATTTTTTTATAAAACTGGGTTACCATAGAACCGGTTTTTAAATGAGATTGCAAAGCGGGTTTAGTTCTGGACTAATCCAAAACATGGACAGCTTTACTCTTACAGCCAAACAATGGCTATTAGGTTATATCTATATATATATAAGTATCCATCAACACAGGAGGTGAGCAATGAGAAGTTCGGATGTGGTGGACGCAGATAAAGATGGTCGGGCTCGCGACAGAGATGGACGGTTAGTGAGATGGAAACCGCCGGCGAGACAGATCCGCGAGCTTGGTGAGGACTTGCGACCGGCGATGATGGAGGCGGCGGTGCAGATGGGTAGCACGGCTGGGATGAGCTCCGGCCCGGTCATGAGAAAGTGGCTGTGAACTTTCGACGGTGCACCGGCGGGCTTGGCCGGCAGTGACAGTCATCTGCTCTACTGGTTAAACACTAATACTTTGCGATATAGAAGTTCAGATGTGGTTGCATCAAACTGCGCTCGGCTCAGATGTGGGTAGTTCATGGCAGATCAGATGAGATCGATGGCGAGCACGGGCCTGATGGCGGTGCAGCGATGGCGACTTGGTTAAACTCAGCCGGTAAGAAGGACGACGACGTGCAGCGGCTGTGGCTGGGCTTAATGGTAACTGGCTCGGATGGATTCTATTTCGGTCATGAGGACGGCGAACTTCAACTGAACTCGCGGTGGGCTTGATGTGCAGCCGGTGATGGGTGAAGATATAAAACATTATACGAAAATCGATCATCGATGAAGGCATATATCGGCTTGGAGTTGAAAAATTGAGTTCGTCGCAGGTTCACAAGATGGATTGGAATTTTTTGGAGATGAAGATCAATAATTGGTTGAATGTTGTGAATATTACAGTGAAGATGTTGTTCAACGGAGAGAGAATTCTCTGTGATCATGTCTTTGATCGCATCGTTAGAGTCGATCAGAGAGCCCTTTCAATCTCCAATCACTAACCGCAGATCGACTCAATCTTCACATTCGAATCAACGTCAGTAGTTAGAGCACAATGTGTCATAAAATCAAAAGACACCTCGTGTATGCAAGTCAATGCAGTCTTTTTGGGGGTGCTGAACATTGCAAACCATGCTATTTAACCATGATGATACTGAAGGTCCACTCAAAATTTTGTAAAGAGTCAGATTGCAGAGTGCCGATTTGCAGGCCTTTGAAGAGTGAATTAGAGAATTTTAATTTCAGTCTAAAATTCTGTGAAGGGATGCTACGACTGGTCGGGAAGCACCCAAGGTTACTGGAACCAGTTGATTGTAGTGTATAGTTATTGATGGATTATCAACGATAGCAGTCGCTTATACTAATTAATACAATTCAATGTAACATTGAATATATACTGACTTATTTCTTTTGACGGTTGTATAGGTTGGACTTGCAGTGAGTTCATTCAAACGGTGATTCATGTAAATAAAAGGATGCTTATTGATTATTATTCATGAATAAAAAATAAATCAGATTTTGCAGTAGATTTCATCAGTAATTCTTTCCCAATATTTGAGATCTTAATATAATGGTCCACCCAAAACCCTCTATTCATGTGATGTAATACTTAAATAATAATACGCCACCAGCAAAGCAAGACTAATTAATCACTTCTAACTAGTGCTTATATAATAATTATGCATGTTGGATTTGTTGATCAAGAACATATATATATAAATATTAACACGAAATCAAGATCAGAACACTTATCTGATTAATTTATGGCTTGGCTTTTTGAGCTCAGATGGACATTTGATTACCAGGGCGAACACAAGTGATGCCTCCTGGGTTTTCCATTCATCAGTCTTGCTACGAATTATTGTTCGAAAGCCGAATATTGATGGAAAGAACCTTGTGGGAGGTTCGGATGTTGGACTTTGGTCGGCTTGCTACGTGGAGACCTTCGGCCATGAGAGTTGTCGTAGAGAACTTGGGTTCAAATCCTGGACTTGAAGATTTTAATTTCAAGTCATATTGCTGGATTTGGAGATTTTAATTTGAAGTGTTGTAACTTTGGTGGGGATATATTTCTATACGTTTCCCACAGACGGCGCCAAAGTGTAGGTGCAAAATTTCACTCAACCAATAACGATTAAGAGAAATAAAACAACTCACTCAATCAGCAATAAAAATAACCAAGAACAGTATATAGAAAAGCGTAGAATTGCTTGGACGCTTGGGATCCCTTTTATTGGAGGTCTTGGCCTCTATTTATACATAAAAAAGTAGTAGAATTATGGTAGGACTCGCATTGCTTATCCTCCAATTCTTTCCATGTATGACTTTCTTTACAATTAGAGTTCTTTCCATTATTTAATTCTCCATGCACAGAATTTGCTTTGTGTAGAACTTCCTATTGCAAAGTCTTCCTTCTATGGTAAATCCTTCAACTTATAGGATTTGTCCAATCTTGAATAACTGGGCTGGCTATACCTTTAACCGGCTGGGCTTGAATAACGGGCCGGATGTTGATATTAGCAAATCGGGTTGATAACCTTTTGATTCGGCCTGGATAAAGGTTGGAGGGCAAATAACAGTGATCATGGGCTAAGAATACATTCAATTTGGGCTTGAGCATGACGGGCCTTTGAAAGACAGATTTGCATCCGTGATGAAATGGAGTAATCTTATTAGAGGGGATTTTTTCCCTCCACAATATAGGAAGGAAGGGAGGTTTGTATAGGTTAATTTCATTTTTAATGGAGGTCTGAGTAAATTCCCAAACCACAAGGGAGGTCCGTGTAATTATGGCAAACCATAGGGGAGGTCTAAGTAAATTCCCAAATTACAAGGGAGGTCCGTGTAATTATGGCAAACCATAGGGGAGGTTTATGTAAATTACCCTATTTTGAGTACCTATTTATTTTCTATCAGTATCTATGGATTGATAACGAGTCTGAGTCTGGATAATGTTTGCATCCTCAGTGGTACCGCATCTATTGGCATGGAGTTAGCTGATGCTTATTTTCCATTATATTTTCCTTTCCTATTCTACGACCTCATATTTTATGTTCCTTTGAATTATTTTTTAATATCAACTAATATAAAACTTGTTTCATCCCTTCTTTTATCTTCCTTCAACTTTCTTTCCCTTACCAAATATATGATATTTTGAAGTTCAAGATTCAAGTATTTGGAAGCAGCTTCTGGATATCAGGGATTTCATTCAAGAAAACGCGGTGTTCAAAATTGGAAATGGTGGATCTTTTAACATACTATTTGACCCTTGGTGTGCAGGTTTGTCTTTAGTCCAGAGATTTGGGCCAACATGTTTAAAAATTTTGATAAACAAGCTAAAGCAAGAACTCTTATTGTTGATGGTGGGTGGTTGTTTCGTCCTTTCTTTCCAGAAGATGCTGTTGATTTTATTGCTAATATAACTTTGAAGGCTGGAGATGATGAGATTGGTTGGATTCATGCTGAATTCAGTCTGGAAAATGCCTGGACAGCTTGCAGGGCTAGGGGGCAAGTAGTTAGGTAGAAGGGTCTGTGTTGGAAACATTGCAGACCAAGGATTGCTGTTATGTTTGTAATCATCATGCAGAATAAAAATCTGTCATGTGTTAACTTACAGAGAATGGGCTTTCATGGACCATCAGTTTGTCACAATTGTTTTTAGGAAGCAGATACAAATAACCATTTGTTTTGCACTTATAAGTATGCTATTGAAGTATAGCAGCAGGTTGTCCTTTGGTTGAATATTCCTGATATGAGGTTTCAAGAACTTAGTTTGTTTGTGGAGTGGATGCTTCAGATTACACATGATAAGAGGTTCAAGTCCAAGATTTTGAAGGGGCTGTTTTCAGTTTTTATTTGGAAGATTTGGATGGAAAGAAATTCAGCTTTACGTCGCGGTGTCAAAGCTTCTTCTACTGACTGCTGCAAATGCTATTGTTTGGGAAGTTTTGCATTTCTTTTCTCTTGGTCTAGCTGATATAGTAGCTATTTTTGATGTGGTATGATGATTTGTTGCTGGTTATTAGTTTGGTTTAGAGATGGAATTGTTCCATTTCTTGTTTCTTGGTAAAGAGGGGTATGCCTCTCTATTGTAATTTGTACTATAATTTTTTATTTTTGAATTTATAAAAACAACCCATTCAGGGAAAAAAATAAAGTGCAATTAAGGATGACAAAATGCCTAATCCATTCGTACACGAACATGTGATCGAACTCAGGTTGTTTTAATAAATGAGCCGAACCCAAACTTTTAAAATTCATAATTACCCGAACTTGAGCTTAACTTTTTGAGTTCCTCATTTTGAATTGAGCCCACAATACTAGGTGAGATTGAACTATCTAAAACTCAATTACATTTAATTCATTTGCAATACCATTTTTAGGCTGTGTCACTGAAATATTAAATATTTTGCATTCACATATTGCACTACTTTATTGTAATTAGGGTTTATTATTATTTTTTTATGACAAGAAATACACACTCCCACCCATCACACAAATTTTTAGGGATGGAAAGGTTCAAAGGTCATTATTTCATTGTTTTTGGGCCTTCATCCCATTTTAAAAGCGGAAAGCCCAAGTTTCAAAGCTAATTCCAAAAAGAGATAAGAAGTTCACAGTCCTCCTCGCGTATTTGTCAACCGGCAGACGAGTAGCGACGCTTCAGTGGCCGTTCGATTCAACACTCCGGCTACCTCCGCTAGCTTCGGACGACCTCCGATGACTCCATACTCAATCTGAAGGTAATTTAAAGGTAAAGTTCAAAGCCTTTCCAACTCATCTTCCCTAAACCATACCGTTTTATTGAAAAATTTAGGAGTAGGTGTGTGACTCATTTCGGCTATTCAAGATTTTTTTTAATTTTTTTTTTTCCTTTCAATTGTGCATATGTTGATTCTGTTCCCCAATTGGTCAATTTCAAATTTTCATTTTTTTTTTTTTGTTTTGTTTTTCTTTCTATCTCTTTATTTCCAAAGGATATATATATATATTCTTAAGCACAAGTAAAAGTATGTAGGAAAACCAATTGAAACATCAACAATAGCAGAAAGATATTCCCTCCTAATAAGCACAAGTATTGTACTAGAAGAAGATATTACTTACTGGTAAGAGTAGGAACATCTATTAGTTCATACGGTGTCTTCTGCTGATTCTGAAAATACCAATAAAATTTTCCAACTTCTGAGTTTCCTCAGTGACATTCTGAATAGTTTATTTAGATTTTCTCAATTCAATTCTTAATATTTCATTTTTCATATTAAAATGACAAACCTCAAGTTTCGGAAGTTTTGCGTTTTCAATCAAAGTTTTTTTTTGTCAAAGTTTTTTTTTTTTTTGATAAATGAACGTTTAATTAAGAAAAATTCAAATGTTCAAGATAAAAGATTTTTGTCATTTCAATGTTGAGTAACCTGAGCAAATTAATTTTCCTTAGTTTGATGGCGCCTCTCCAATTTCAACTTACCTAATCTTTTCAACCAACCTTTTGTAGCATTCTATAGCTTCACAAATTCTACAAGCAACTCACTAGAAGCAGTCTGAAAATTATTCTTGTTTTTAAGACCTTGCAGAATCAGAACTAGAAGGAAGTGCAACAGTAGTAGTGAATGCAGTGTAGTTAATTGCATATATTGTGATTTAATATCATTTAAAATTGCGTTTATGACTTTAGTTTTTCTCTTGGATGTCTTCTTTTGCCTAAAACATTCACTAGCAACATGCCCGATATCATGATTGTTCCAACATTCTATCTTGGGTTGATTGTTCTTGTACACTTAAATAAACAGGTAAGGATGTTAAGCCTAGAGATACTTGGCATGAAATGCTGATGTAGAGAGGCCAAACCTCCTCTGCTCAACTCACCTAATTGAGAACTTCCTACAACTAGATGTTTCAAGATTTGAGTATCAGGCCTGCTTACAGGCTGTATTTGAGCCACTTATTGCATATAGCACTCATAGGGTGGAGCCTCAAAGGACCCCTTTTACATTAAGTAGGAGACTGCAATTTGACTAGAGCTGAATTCTTATTTGTTTTACCCTCTACCCAAACTTGCCTCAAGCTAAGTAGAAGAAAAATAAAGAAAAAGAAGAAGAAGAAGAAATTGTTGAAGGAAGAAGCTAGGGCCTGTTTGGTTTAGTTATCTCTTTTCAGAGAACTGAAAATCAAAAACCTGAACAAAAACTTGTATGGTTGTTAGCATTCTGAAACTCAGTTAAAAAAGGCTTATTTTTTTAGTTCTTGAGAACTATTTTCAAAAAACTGAACCAAACATGCCCATAATTACCCTCTTCTAATTTCTTAGTAATCTTCTTTTCTATTCAAGTTTGAGATCTCTCGAAGTATTTTTAAACCCCAAAAACTTTTGAAAACTGATTGGAGTGGATTCAAGATATCTAACTTTGAGTTCCATAGTAGTTGGATCATCCCTCTTGTCTCTTTGTTTGCTATTGTTCATGGAATAGGTATACAGTTTGGGGTATGTTTTAGGTGTTTTGGTAGATGGAATAGCCTACTTTTGGACTAGGGTAGGTATATTGGATGTCCACTTGATCTGATTGTCGTTTTGGTGTGTACGAGATAGGTTTTATGGAATTGGTTTGCTTGGGGATTTCACATCTTTAGTTTAATCATTTCAAACTCCTGTAATGTTGCCTAATTAGATTAAAAAACGGCTCTTAATAAGTTTCTAGGCATTGTGTTTTCTCAATGTATGTTTGTGTTCGAAACTTCAAAATTTTGAAAGTCTAATTTTTCTTTTGAACTTCAATTGTATATTTCATTGGGACTATGATTTTCATAAAAAAAAGTCCATTATTAAAAAGCTCAGGTACTTTCACTTAAAATTGGTTTTACTCCAATTTTTCAGGTTTTTTTGGAGACATCAGCAAAAAAATAGAGCATGGTCATTTTGTGAAATTTTATAAAATGCTTAGATGGACCTTGATACTTATTCTATTGAAGTTTATTGTATCCTGCTTCTTATCAAAAAAAAAAAAAAATTGTGGTCTACTGTTGGAAAGTTCTTTTCATATATTTCCCAACTATCTTTGAGGTCCTCAAAAGGGTCATGAAAATGTGGTCTTTTAGGGGCTTTGATCAATTTATTTAAGGTGCTCAATGGTCAAAGATGCATTTCTAGGGAATCAGTTATAAGTCAAACTAAATCCTCTCAATTTATTAAGGACCAAATACTTTATCAAGCCAAAGGCACTTCCAAAGTGCCCGATAGAGTCAAAATTTAGTTGGTTCTTTTCGAAGATAGGCCCAAACCTTACAATTGGTAAAAAATGGGGCTAAGAAGCACGAACGCTTCTACGAGATGTCGTATCCATGTTTGACACCGACACTTCATTGACACTCCTAGACATGTCTTCGACACTTCATAACTAGGGCTGTAAACGAGCCGAGTAATGGTGCGCTCGAGCTCGGGTCAGTCAGGTAATAGGCTGTTCAAACTCGGCTCGAGCTCGAGTGGAGCCAAGAAAATTTAGTTCGAGCTCGGCTCGGCTCGGCTATGTTTGATGAGACTCGAGCTAAGCTCGATAGCTCGTTTATTTTTATTTTTATTTTTGTTGGTCGTACTTCGCATCTAACAGATCTGGATCAAAAAATAAAAAAAAGTTTGAGAGAGAAATAAATTTGCAGCAATAAAAAGAGAAAAATTTGAGAGAAAAAGAGAAAGAAAGTGATAAATTTGGTCAAAAATTAAACTTAACAGAGTTGATTTTGATGGAAGAAGTTGAGAGATGCACAGATCAATAGTAAACCCCAAAATTTATACTAAAAATCAGTTTGGATGAAAGACGATTAATTGAAGAAAACAAAGCGACAAAGAGTTTTTGGGAGAGAGAAATGTGATAGGAAAAATGGTCCATTGGTTGCCATTGAAGCAGGTGCAGGTGATTTGTACATATAAGTGTGTTGCCGCTTCTGGTTGATGAGATGATAAAATATAAGAAGAGAAAGAGAGAGAAGTAAGATTCGATAATAGAAGGCAGATTGCTGAGTGTGTTGCTGCTGCTGCTGCTTGGGCTACTTATAATTTTAGAAAAAGGGAAGATGATTAGGGTTAGACATAAGACATGGGCTTGGGTTGGATTGTACAGATGGGCTTGGTTTTTGTTTTAAAATGAATAAATGATTAAATTGGGTCTAAAACAAGAAGGACTAAATAATTTAATGGCCTGTGGACTCAGCCTTCATAACATAAAATTATATATTATAATTGGATATGTATATATATATATTATAATCGAGTATGTTCGTGAATGCCTTATCGAGCCCAGTTCGTGAACAGTTTTTGAACAAACGAGTCGAGTCTACTGATGTCTAGACTCAATTCGTTTATAAATCGAGCCTCATAACTCGGTTCGAGCTCGGTTCATTTATAAAATAAACGAGCTTGAGTCGAGTAATTCACGAGCCTAGCCCGAGCCGTTCGCGAACGGCTCGGCTTGTTTGCAGCCCTATACATAACCGTATCCATAACTTATAAAAAAAATAAATAAATAAAAACCTGTGTCTATAATTTAAAAATAATTTTTGTTATTTCGGACACTTGGTCGACACATCTTGGACACTTGTTGACACATTTCGGACACTTGGTCAACACATTCCGGGGACTCGTTAAAAAAAAAAAAAAAAAAATCACAACACTATGTCTTGTATAAAATAAACAGATGGCAGTCCTATCCATTATTAGCACCCTTTTTTTGTTGAGTTCTAGGGAGTTTGTTGATCTTTTGGGTTCTTTGAGGGTTTAGAGGCACTTTTTTTTTGGTAGCTCTTGTGGGATGCGTGCCCTTTTTGAATGTTCTTTATTACATTATTTAGTTAACAAAAAAAAAAAAAAAAATGCAGTCCTAAAAATAACATTATGAACATTTATCAAAGTGTCCAACCTCTTTTTCTTTAAAAAATTTACATTAAACATGTCATAGTATGTAATGTGAACACAAATATAACTACAATGACAAGATAGAATAGTAATAGAATCACCTCTTAACTTATGTAACTGTAATATAGAAATTATAGAGTAATTAAAGTTATATGATTGTCTTACTCAATAGATATAAATGAAAATTATATTTATATTAGCCTAGAAAGTAATTAAAGTTTTATGATTGTCTTACTTAATAGATTTAAATGAAAATTTATATTAGCTGTGTCCATGCCGTGTCAGTGTCCTACTTTTTTAGTATTTGACGTGTCAGCGTATCCGTGTCCATGCTTTTTAGGAAATGGGTGGCTACACATGGTAAGGCACACTAAATCTAAATATAAGTATGTAGATTAATGATCCGTTAGTCCTCTAACGAAAATCCCGAAATATTAAAAAATGACAAAACGCCATTCTCGAGCTCTAAGCGATTGATAAAGGCTTCAGCAATCAGTTCTACATCAGTCTCCCCTGCTTGAAAAGAACTCTTCCTCGAGTTAAGACCAAAAGAGCTTGTCTCATCTAGCGGAAAATACTCAAATAGATCTGCAACATTAAATATAGGAGAAATAGTCATGTCTTCGGGGAACTTAACAACATAAGCATTATCATTAATCTTCTTCGAAATCTGATAAGGCCCGTATTTTAGTTCTTCAATTTGTTGTAGGTACCAACAGGAAACCTTTCCTTGCGTAGAAACACCATAACTAAATCTTCTTCTTGAAATACTTTCTTTCGCCTCTTCTTGTCTGCTGCTTCCTTGTATTTCGCATTAACTTGTTCAAGATGCATTCGAACCTCATCCTGAATGG